CTGCCAAGCTTGAGAAACCCTGCTCCGGTCTAAGGCTTTCCCCTGGGCCAGACTTGGTGCGATTCACCCATCCTTGATCCAACGGTAAGCAGTGCTCTCCTGCACTCCCTCCGCGCTGCATGAGGTGCTGGTAGGGCAGATGAATGGGTGGGTCTCCATCCTCTCAAAGCTTCCTCCTGAGCCCCTTCTTCCCATTCCCTGTTTATTGTAACCGCAGCTGAATAAATAAATAAATATAGAAGGGAGATGATCCTCCGACATCCTTTCGCAGCAAGTCATTATGGGACAGAGTTGAGACACCGAGCGGCCCAAACGAATGCGGGCTGGGACGGATACATGAATGGGAGACCACCGTGAGCCCCCGGGGCTGCAGGCTAGAGGGGAAATTGAAAAAAACATTCCCAAAGGTAGCAGCGGCATTCCACCTCCTTCCTGTGGGTAGGAAAGCTGAGCGGTTGTGTCCGTGGGGAGGCCTTGCCTATCCTGCTTTTATCCCAGAGAAAACTGTGTGGGCTGCTGGGGAGCGAGAGAGGCCACGTGCCAAGCCTTTGGCCCTTGTGTTTCATAGACTCTGGAATTTCACGCCAGGTTGTCCATCACTCTGGGTGTGTCTTGCTTTTCCCCCCCTTCTGCAGTGTACAACTGGACAGTGGATGAGGTGGTGCAGTGGCTGATCACCTACGTGGAGCTACCCCAGTATGAAGAAACCTTCCGGAAGCTGCAGCTCACGGGCCACGCCATGCCCAGGTCAGCCTGCCTTTCTCGTGACTCCACGACCAGGGCATCGAGGCCCACCGCTGAGAACGTGTTTCGGTGTGGTGACTCTGGGGGAGACGGTTGTTTTTTGAGGCTGCTGGTGTTCCTGAGAAGTCCCTGGTTGCTTCCCCAAACAACTGTGTGCTTTGCTAAGACGTTTTTTCTCTTTTCTTTTCAAACCAGGGCTGTTTGCTGTTTGTTGCCACTGGTTGCCCAGGCACAGAGTTTGGAAAAAGAGTTTACTCCTTTAGCATAGCAGTACTAAGCATATATAAATTGCAGATACAAATGAATATGAAGGAGAATACACAAATAAAAACGTTCTCTATCTCATGTTATTCCATCCAGGAAACCTTGGTAATTGGATGGATAAAAAACATCTAATGCTTTTCAGCACCCCCAAAGCTGTGTGATCTGTTCATATTGTAAAGCAGATCCCCTTATTCTCTGCCACTTTTGGTTCCTCCTATGAAATTCCACTGTTGTGGTCTGGGGAAGCAGAAAATGCTCCTTGGAAGTTATGGGGACCTTGGAACACAGAAACCCAGTGAAATCGATTAAGCTTGAGGAAGAAACATGAAATGTGCAAAATTTACTTGCACGTCTGCCCTAGGATCTCTGTTTCCAGGCTTCCACAGGGGATTTGCACAACCAAAGAACCGAACAGTGGAAAAAAGCAGGGTGGGCATTGCCACGGGGTATACAATTGCAAAGAACAACAGGGAAAGAGTCTCCTCTCTCCTGCTACGAGAAAAGTGGGGGCTGGAAGAGGAAGCCTTCCCCAACCTGCTGCCCTCCATTCCTGAAAGGAGCCATGGAACCTTCAGGGCACCAGATGGGGAAAGCGCATCCAAGACGGGTCGAAACATGCCCTTGCTCCCACGGGGCATCTGACGGCCTCTGGAAAAGCTGTGGCAGGGTTGGGTTGGGTGCTCGGGAGACTGGAGGCTGCTTGGGGCTCAGCCAGCCAACCCCTCAGTGGGAAATAACTGCCCTGCCTTGGACCACTCGCCTTTCCCCTTGACGGAGGGAAGCCAGCGGGGAGCCGCACCTGCTCAGCTGGGTCCTGTTCTGGAAGCTGGCCCAGGATCCTGGCCTGTCTTCCTTCTCACCCCCATGCGGTTGAGGTGCTAGAGGCCAGGTTTATGGGTTTGGGAACCCTGCAAAGACCCCCAGTATCGACATTTCGTGTTTTATGAAGTACAGTTTAGATCAGTGTTTCTCAACCTTGGCAGGTTGAAGACGTGTGGACTTCAACTCCCAGAATTCCCTAGCCAGCTTGCTGGCTGGGGAATTTTGGGAGTTGAAGTCCACACGTCTTCAAGCTGCCAAGGTTGAAAAACGCTGGTTTAGATGTTGCCCTAAAATCCTTGAGAAGAGCAAGGAAGCTGCTGTTAACCTTGTTCCTGTGACCAGCAGCACCCCTGAGCGGATCCCATTGAGGGAGGTCGCCTGGTCGAGCTGGCGCCCTTTTCGGCCTGACCTTCCCCACTCTTAAGCTGAGGCCTGGCCCCCGCTGTACGGCTCTCTCCCTTGTTCTCTCTTGCAGACTGGCCATCACCAATGCCACCATGACAGGGACGGTCCTGAAGATGACGGACAGGAGCCACCGGCAGAAGCTGCAGCTGAAAGCCTTGGATACGGTGCTCTTTGGCCCGCCACTCCGTGAGTGACCCTGCTTTGTCCAGGGACTGTGGAGGGCAGACAGGGGAGCCGGGACCCTTCAGAAGTCCTTAAACTGGAGCTCCCATCACCCTTGATCGAGCATGCCAAGGAATTCTGGGAATGATCATTCGGTCAGATTGGAGGGCTGGTAGCTAGGTTGTATCTCCCCGCAGCACTGAAGCTGTCCATCCTCCCTCGTTGTGGCTCGGCTGTCGCATTTCTGAGAAAGCCCGGCGGGTTGTGAGTGGGATCGTAATGGTTTGAGGTTTGTAACTCTCCCGGAAGGGCGGAATGGAGGAGAAAGTGCTTGAAGACTGCCCCTCGGTGGTGGGATCCCTTTTTCTTGGAAATGGGCCCAAGCGATTTTAAATTCAGTCGGATGGCAAGATCACTTCTGCGTGGCCTTTCGGTCATTTCCTTGGTTCTTTGCCGGCTTATTCGTTTATGTTTTGAACTGTCACGTCATCTCTTAGAACCAGCTTTAATAAGCTTTGGGTTTGTAAATGGCTGTGGTGAGTGCAGTGCTGCGCTCCTCAAATAACTCTGTTGTTCTATTTCGTTTTTAAAATCCGTAGCCAGAGAATCCAGGTTGTGCTAAACAGCCACATGGCTTCCTTTGCCTCCCATTTAATTGACGTGGAGATCCAGACTGAGACTTTCACCCTTCGATCGATGGCCAGCAGGGAGGGAGAGGGCAGGCTGGAGGGGTTTGGGGCACAGAGTAGGGCAGGCATGAGGGTGCTGTGGGAAGAGCTTGCCTACAACCGTTCCGGGCATTCGGGAAGGCCAGCAAGCTTTCTCTGCCACCCAGATTCTCCTGCCGAGACAGAGGTGACCAAGGCAGAAATGGGCGCGGTGGGTCATTCCGTTTCTCTGGCCCTTCCTCCTCTCCTGAGAAATGACTTTTGGTTGCAACCACCCCAGAAGCTCTGCCATCGCTCAGTGGCCAAACGCCCTCTGTGCACGCCGCGGATCCCAGCCTGGTCCCCAAAGCGGTGGACCAGGAGGTGGCTGAGAGGGACTCTCTTTCTCTGCTCAGAGAGCGGACAGGAAACAGGTAGCCTGCTGCTGTGAGGGGGTCCGCAGGGGAGTCAAAGAGTCATGGTAGCCACCACCGTGCCATCAAAGGCCTGCCCCTTCTTTACACGTGGCACAAGGCATGTAAAAAGGGGTGGGGCTTTGATTGCATTGTTGGGGCTGCCATCTTGACTTTTTTGACCCCCTTCCTGCAGACCCCTCCGGCTGGCCTCCTTGCCAAGAAGGTTCACCTACAGGCTGCGTCAGCTGAGCAGAAACCTTTCTAGCTGAGTATTGCATGCTTTGGAGGAGCCCCCTTGAAAAGGCTGCACCCACAATCCTTGAGGAGGATGCTTGAGAGGGGGGAGTTGCAGAAAGCTGCCCCAAACAGCTGTCAGCCAAACGTGGATGCCCACTAGAAGGGGGAGGCACGGGTTGGGTCATCCCTGGGGCAGGCATCGATGACCGGCCCAGGAGTTTGAAGAGCCGAGAGCCGAGATCCTTGTCGCTGGCAGGATGGACGTGGGGGTGGGGGTGATGAAAGTGGTGGGCCTCCTCCTTGATGGATCTTGGGCCTAGGGCCACACTGGCGTGGGCTCTGAGGGGTTGCTGGAGACCTCACGTGGTCCCAAATGCGGATAAAGAGCCAGAGAAGTTCCCACAGAAAGAACTCTTTGCAGTGTTGATGGTACACTGCTCACCCCAGAGAACGTAATGAATGCCGTGGAGGGTCCTAAATAGAAACGGGAGCTACAGATTCACTGGGTGGTCGCAGGCTTTGTCAGGAAAGCGTTTCAAACCCGGGTTCCCCTGCACTGAGCGAGGAGGGGGAGGCGTGCTGCGGGTGATGCCTCCTGAGGCTGACCTAGGGCCATCTTTGCCTTGGTTTCTGTTGGGGGCCTGGGCCCAGAGCAGCTGCGTTTCTGGCCCTGCTCCTAACCGCCCGGAGCTCTTTGGGTCGAGGAAGGGGGCTCTGAAGCTGTGTTGCCTAAGCCGCCCGTGGGAACTTTGCTTCGTTTCGTTGCATTATCCGGTGCGTGTGTCCGTGTCTGTGTCTCTGTTGGGATTCACGTTTTACCGTGTGAGTTCCTATTTTATCCCCGGGAAGCTCCAGATACCCACTGAAGAAGTAAATGAAATGTGTCTGGCTAGGCTGGATTTTTTGTGTTTTTTACAGGACGGCTGGCAATCCAGTCCCTTTGAGCTCATTGACTGCAAATTTGATGTTTACAGACTTAATCTGGTCTCTCTCTCTCTCTCTCTCTCTCTGTGTATGAGCTTAGAGGAATACTTTGGAGAAAGGCATGAGAGCATTAATGGGGTTATGGCTGCGTCTGTATATTCTTGTTACCGAGAACTTTCCCTCTTTGTGGAGTTTGTGCAATGGCTTATTGGTTAGTCATACTAATGCTTCACGGCTTTATAAATCTGTTTATAACGCAAGTGGATCTCTTAGTCCTATGCTTTCCTTTTATGTTTATTTGCCATTGAGCCCGGAGCCCTTCATTTCAGTGCCCCGCATCAACCGTTTCTTGAAGGAAAGAGAATGCTTCTGAATTGGCCGTATAAACTGGCCCGGAAGTCCACTCGGGCCAGCTGCAGGGCTTCCAAGGGCGCCGATGTAAGAGGCGGTTGGAGGCCAAAGGGAGCACTTAGGCTTCCTCGGCGCCCCCTTTTTCCTTGTGGGGATTCCAAGCAACCGCAACGGGCCCCCGGGAAAGAGTGAGGCTTTCTCTTTCCCTTTGCAGGTGCTGTAGGCAGAGAGCGCCAGTTGCGGGTGGCAAAAGGTCAGGAGGAGCCGGGTAGCCCCCTTCCCAACTAACAAGCGTTATTAAAAGGCATGGCTTTGGTGAGCTGTACGAGCCCTTTATTAAAACGGGCTAGCTGGAAAAGGGGCTGCCCGGCTCTTTCTGACTCTTCCTTTTGGTGTGCAGGAATGGCGTGAAGCTCTAACTGAGAGAATAGAGGGCTCCTTGGGGGGGCTAAAACCAAAGTTTTCTGGTGATGCCTGAGGAGGGGTTGGGGTGCCCTGAACCACCTTCAGCCTCCCCTAGAAGGAGCGATGGGGGCTTCCTTCTCTTGGGGACTTCAGGGCTGCCGCTATGGGCCTCCCTGGGAATGGCCAGCAGCATTTTGGGCCATGCTGCAGCCACCTTTCTTTGGGCTGGGGCCTTAGCCGTTGGGAATTATCTTCTTCCTTCGCTCCCTCCCCATCCTAATCTTTGGTATGTGGAATCCTAAGGCCTGGGATTTGGGGTGGCAGCCTGGTTGCAAATTGAGAATAAGGCATCGTTTGCAGGGCTAGATTGTTCCCCATGCAGAACCCTAGACTTGGAAGGGCCCCTCGCGTCCCACCTGCTGCTCAGGACAGGAAGGCCCTGATGGATAGATGGATGGATGGATGGATGGATGGATGGCTGACTCGTCTCCCCTGGAACACTTGTCGTGAAGGAGAGCCCATCTCTTCTCTGGGCGTTGGTTCCGTGGCCCAGGCAGTATCCATCAGCCTGGCCAGATATCGCTGTATTGACACCTGTCTTTCTGGGCCTAGATGAACAGCTTGGCCCACCTGCGTTGAGTCCCCAGAACTGATTTGATGCCCTGCTGGTCTGATCAGCTTCCAACAGTTTTCTTTCCCTCTTTTCAGTCAGTTATTAAAAGCTTTGAAATAAGAATGCATGTACTTTATTCCCAGCTCAGGAGAGAGGTGGCGGGAGGGAGCCCTGATCCCCCCACCACTTCCTGATTGGGCCCAATGGGTAGAGGAGGAGATGCTGCCCTGGCCTGTTGAATTTACTGTTTCATTTACTCTGCAAATGCAGCTTGACTTAAGCCACTTCTATCTTGGCTTCCAAAATGTGTGTGAGCTGCGATGTTTTTCCCTAAGAAGCTTCTGGAAACAATGGGCAGGGCAAGAGATCTCTCTGGGGAATTGCTGAGCATGGATCATTTGTTCTCCCAAAGACCTGAAAGCGTGCATGGAAGGCACTTTGGTGCTGTTTGCTTTGTCTGAAGAACTGATTCATCAGCCCCCTTAAGGATTTGCCTTGGATGTATAGTTCATTTAATCTTTACAGTTGTTATCTGGCCCTCAGATTGAGCTGAGTGAGGGCATCCTTTGAGGTGATGCTCACTAACTGTTCTTGTGAATCTCCAGGCTGCCTGCGGAAGGCCAGTGGCCACCGTGCTTTGGATAGCCTTGCCTGCGCTAATGGCAGGTTAGGGGAATTGGCGAGGCTTTCCTGAGTGGGAAGTGTGAGGGCGTGATGATATCCGTAGAGCCCCATTCAATGATGAGGACTCGGATGGATCAGAACCCAAAGAGTCCTCTCAACCTCCCCGACTTGATACTTTCAGTGTGCTGCAGCAAGAACAGGTAGACCAGAGAGGAGATGGTGACACAGCTTGATACAGAAGACGTGCTCAGTCAGTCTGAAGACTGAACAACCAACCAGGTAGAAGTTGAGTGTTTCTGTGAATGGCCTGGCAGAGTTGGGACAACGGGTGCTTGTTGGGCCCTTGGCAGAAGACCTGTCCCAAGGAATTGGACTTCGGGTGGACTGTTCTGCAGAGATGGTTATGCAAGGGTGTGTGTGTGGGCGTTTGGCATTTGTAGGAAACACCTTCTTTAAGAGATTGCTGGAAGATAGTTCATGGAACGGCAGCAGGAGTGTCTTTGGCTCCTTTCGGTGGGTGCCCTTCCTTTCTGGAGCCCTGTTGGCAAAAGCAGATGCGCTTTAATGGAGGGTCCTGTGCAACTGCAGCGGACTCCATGAGTCTCATCGAACCGAAACTCAGCCTAGGTGAGCGTTTCTTCTTCAGGTGCTCTTCCGAGCAACTTCAGTATGAGCCGGTTCCTCCGGACAACGGCAGTCCTTCCTGAGGTTCCTTTCTCCTGGCCACGAGCTGGGCAGGAAGGAGCCCATCTCCACTGGCTAATCTTACATTGGCCGCCCTTGACCAGCCCGTTGGGTGTTGCTCCATTATGAGCAGGAGTAGAAACTGGCCCAAGCAAGCTGCAGCCACAGGGCTGCGATGCTTCTTGGGAACCTTTTCTCATTTGGTGTGTTTCACGATTTGTGCCCTGTGGCCGGAGGTGGGGCCGGCAGGGAACTGGAGCTAGAAGGCCTCTTTCCCTCTGCTGCTGGCCCACCCACAGAGGGGCCCCTCCCCCTGCGTGGTGCATGAACATGCGCGAGGGGCTGCCTTGGCTGCAGATCTGAGGGAAAGCGCCCGGTCAGTTGGAAGGTGCTGCATCACGGTTTCCCGGCCCAGCCTTGAGCGGGCTTCGGAAATGGCCCTGGAAATGCAGGGGAGGCTGGAGGGACGGTTGAGCAGGGCCATTCTTCCCTCCTTGGGGCTTTCTCCGGCATTCCTGTCCCATGGCACTCGCTCCCCAGGGCTGCCCTGCGTTTGTTTACTTCCCCATAGTGCTGCAGATTTGGTTTGTCCAGGAAGGGCAGTTCTGGATCTCTGAGTACAGAATCCTGGAGACGTGACGAAGGAAGTAAAGGCAGGGGCTCTTGAGAAGGGGGACTTGGCTGGGTTAAAGAAAAACCGTACACTTGGACGCGTCCCTTGAGGCCGTGGAAGAATCCCCGTTAAGGCTTTGTGCTCGGCTGGCTGTCCAGCCTCTGCTCAGGCCAATGGGAGGGGTGGGAGGGAAGCGGGGTCTCTGGGTCTTTGCTTCTGCTGTCCAGTTGTGCTTCACTGGCATCTGCCTCCCCAGAGCCGAAATCCCCTTTCCTGTCTTCTGAACTCTGGGGGCACGCGATGCCTGTCATGATTAGCAGGTGCCAGTTTGGGGGGTCAAGAAGGAAGCCTCTGCCCCCCTGTATAGGCCCAGAGGCAATAACTCTGTGGAGTGCCAGAAGGTGTGTTTTTAAGTGCTTCCCAAGGACCGGCAGAATACAGCTCCAAGGGCCAGAATTTAGCATTTGGAGCATTTGCCGGGGAGGAAAGTGGAGTTTGATGCTGGAGCGGTTGTGTGGAAGGGCGAGGGGCTGAGCCACAAAGTCACTCCAGGTGAGAGGAAGGTCCGGCGTGAAGATCCAGACAAGCTGAGGGACAGAACCTCAAGGAGGAGGGCCACAGATGATCCACGGGCCTGCAGGGAAATGGAGGGACCTCCAACAAAGTGTGGTTCTCAGAGATGCGTGGATCGCTCTGACGAGTGAATCAGATTTTGCGTGGGAACACAGCCAGGACGCCGTGTTCTGGAATGGCACTCGGAGGAACGCCTTTATTTCTGCTGACTCCGACTGAGAAGAGCGGCTTGTTTTCACGGGGATTGCTGCCTGAGGAATCTGATTGGGGGTCGCCAGCTGTGGGCTGAGCCCACGCAGATCCCCTTGGGCATCAGCAGACCCTCTCTAAGGTTTGAATGCTGCTTGGAGGCTTATGCACCCACTCCACACAGCTGACAAACGAGAAAGAGAAGCATTCTGCTTACCATTGCATTCATTTACTCAAAGAAACTGCAAGCCAATGAAGCCAGTCCAGTAGAAATAATGCAATTACAGTTCTGTGTTAGGGCTGAATGAAGAGCAAAATAACTTCCTAATACTTGGCACAAAGGTTAGCCGTCGCTACCTGCTGCTAAAAGAACAGCATTGGATAGGCAGTGCTTTTCTTGACGAGAAAATCTAGAATCTCCTTCCTTTCTTTATGCACAGATGTTATCTTCTTGTAAACTGAAACATTCCTAATCTCTCTATAAACTGCATTTGGGCCACTTCCAGACCCATGGCTGTAAGGTCATTGAGAGACTCCTTATTGGCTGACACCTGCAAGGCTTTCTTACCTCCTGAGTGCCTTGTCCAAAACTCATTGACCCCTTGAGTTGTTACTTGGCAAGTCGTCATCCCTTAGCCACTAGTTTTAACTGAGTTAAAACAGCATGGCTGTATTTCTCCAAGACCCCAATGGGTAATACCTAAAAATGAACTCCTGGAGCTGCATGCCCGAAGATGGCTTAGAAATCACAGCCAAGCCCCAGGATGGCATCTCTGTTGGAGATGAAGCAGAGCTTCCAAAAGTCACTAGTGATTTTGATAGAAATGTTTGGAGGCAAATGTGCTTAGCTCTTTGCTGCTACCGAGAAACACAGGTGCTTTTCACACCTGTGAAGATACACGCGGATTCTGCCTCACCGTTGGGGCCATTCAGAAGTTTGCACTGAAAACGGGCTTCCGGGAGGCATTGTTGTCCCTGAGCAGAGAACTCTCCTTGTCTGGAATCCGGCTAGCAGGAGGTCGGCCTCCAGATCAGATCAAA